GGACTGGGTCTTGTCATTGTGAGTCACTGGGAGTGGCTTCATTTCCGGTGGGTTTTCTCCTACTCCTGAAGAGGCTGGGCGCATGCACGGCCCCTCAGCTCCAGCACACCCCGGTCCACCTGACAGCAGCGTGTTCTTTGACCACAGAGGCTCACCTAGGCCTCGTTGAGGTTTTCTGAGCTGTAGCCCAAAGCCCGGCTCTGGCTTGGTTGCTCAGCATTGTCGTGAATTAAGCCTCCCTTCTCTCTGGAAAAGTGTTGCACATTCGCTCTTGGTGAAGAGTCATGATTCTGGGGTGTCAAGGAAGGGCAGTGGCCAGAGGGGAGGGACAGGGCACTGCATTGACTCTCTGGATGGAGCATTTCCCATTGCCGAGAAGGATTAAGCTATGCAGAAGATGAACTCTCAGTGAGAGGGAAAGACTCTTGTGGGGGGTTCCAGCCAGAGCTGGGTGAGAGGAGGCCGTTATTGCTCCTGGGATGTGTAACCTGGATTGGGCTGTGGTCCAGTGCACCAAAGAGCCCCTCATTTCCTCTCAAGTAATGCCCTTGACTTGCAGGAGTTGGGGAGCTATAGCTTTTGATGTTCTTCTCTCACCTGGACCCAGGGACCTAGAGGCAAGCTTTTTGGTTTTGGCCTGGGGCCTCTTAGGGTTTGCTCAAAGCAGTCATTTTTATTTGAGAGAGAGAGAGAGTGCACGAGTGTGGGGAGGGGCAGAGGGGACAGGGCGAAGCAGACTCCCCGCTGAGTAGGGAGCCCAACGTGGGGCTCGATCCAAGGACCCAGAGATCATGACCTGAGCCGAAGGCAGTCGCTTAACCAACTGAGCCACCCAGGCAGTCATTTTTAAAACTGTTGCTGTTTCCAGCCATGGAACACAGTCTTCTATAGTCATCTTAAGGCAGAAGCCTTATATGAGGTAGGGCTTCCCAACTATGGACATTCTGGACCAATAATTCTTTATTGTGGGGCCTGTCCTGGGCATCTGTGGACGGTTTAGGAGCATCCCTGGCCTCTGCCCACTAGATGCTGGCATCTTTCCCTTCCTCCCAGCTGGGACCAACAAAAATGTCTGCAGACATTTCCCAATGGGCCTTGGGGGGCAGGATGGCCCCCTGCTGAGCGCCACTGTATAAGAGGTGACTCAAGTGGGGGTACTTTAGCCAGGATGGGAGCCTCCTCTCTGCCCCTGCCCCTCACTGCCCCCAAGGAAAGCACGCAGACTGAGAATGAGGCTGCAGATCTCTGCGGGGCCGGCCCCGCCACACACTCTGTGCCCGAGTGGACGAATGCAGAATCACGTAGTCCCACCGGCCCCGAGTTCCCGGCGTGGCTCTGAGCTCTTTCTCTCCCACGGTGAGGTGGGTTCCTGAGACGCCTCTGCCGGGATGCACCTGGCACAGCCTGCGGTCCTGGAACGGGGTGACCAGCGACTGCCCCCCACAGGGCTCAAATGCTGAACCTTCCTTTAAACAGTGATCATCATCGATTGTTTTTCAAGGGACAAAGTTAAGTGCTCAGGGAAGACAGCCTGGACACCAGGAAAGCATAATAAAAGGAGAAGCCACATACTAGAGGCCAAGGTAATTACAGTTTACCACGAACAAAAGCAAACCAAACCTACTGTCATGTTTATCCTATTTGTTATATTTTTAGAGCCTGCCTTCCCCACTTAAACTTGCAGCACGCAGCAGCTACCCGAGCTCCCACAGCTGACCCCCCCGGGGCTGGTACCGAGTGGTGAGTCACCGGCGGACTTGGCAGGTGCCCCGCCGATGTCATCCACAAATGTCAGGCCGCACCTTCCCCTCAGAAGCCGCTCTGAGCTGCCAGCCGTGCATTCCCTGAACCTGTTCCTAATTTCTGCTTGAGCAGTTTTCCTGGAGGTCATGAATGACAGATTAACTGCCCTTCCACGCTTCTGCCACATGGATTTTTATCAATGATTGCTGACAAATGACAACTTCCAGCAGAACCATGATGCCATGTTTAGCTTGAAAACTGGGAAAAGACTGCTCAGTTTCTGCAAAGCACAGGGTTGAAAATAACCATCCCGGCTTGTGCTCCCTGAGGACTTACTCTGTGCCCTGAGCTGCCGTTCCGTTCGGGCTTTTTAACACGGCCTTTCAATTCTTACGTCATTCTTACGCTGGGGGTATTTTATTACCCCATTTGACAGATGAGGAAACCGAGGCACAGACAGGTGAAGTCCCTTGGATGGGGTCACACATGGACAGAGGTAGCGACGGGGCCAGGATATGCATCCTGGCAGCCTGGCTTGAGGCAGGGGGCTGTCGGCAAGCTTCTTCTATAAAAGGCCGGTCTCTGCCACACTTCCTCAGCTCAGCTCCATCTCTAGCACAAAAGCTGCCGCAGACCACACTAAATGAAAGGGTAGGAACCCTGAAATTTGAATTTCATATACTTTTCACATGTCACAAAATAGGATTCTGCTTTTTTTTGTTTTTAAAGATTTTATTTATTTATTTGAGACAGAGAGAATGAGAGACAGAGAGCATGAGAGGGAGGAGGGTCAGAGGGAGAAACAGACTCCCCGCCGAGCAGGGAGCCCGATGCGGGACTCGATCCCGGGACTCCAGGATCATGACCTGAGCCGAAGGCAGTCGCTTAACCAACTGAGCCACCCAGGGGCCCTGTTTTTTTAACATACAAACTATTCTTAGCCCTCAGGCTGTACAAGGACAGGTGGCGGACTGGATTTGGCCCGCAGGCTGTAGCTTGTCGACCCGGCTTGAGAGTCCAGGCTCTTCACCGCGCCAGGGCACCGTGGCTGTGATAAGTCTCTTCCCCCATACGGGGAGCCTCAGACCCAACAGAGGAGGCAGGGGCCGGAGTCTCTTGACCAGGGAGCCTTTTGCACCAAGGAATTTATTTGTTGCCCCGTCGTATCTCCGAGTGAGCCTACGTCAGGGATGGGCCGGTGTGTGGCCATCAGGACACCAGAGCTAAGAAGGGTAAACTGATAGAATGCACCGATGATTGACAACTCGGCCATAAATAAAAACACATTTACGGGCTTCTAATGGGGGCGAAGAAAAATGATTTCGTTTATTTATACAACTGATAGATAGCTGCTTGTCAGGAGCAGACCCTAGTCTGCGGGCTCCGGTGAATGAACGGTCGTCTGTAGGAATAGTGTGATCTACTTGGTAGATCACTGGACCGTCGGTCCAGTGAATACACCCCGGGGGCACTGGCACAGTGCCTTACTCCTTCTGGTATTCCTTTTCACCTGACATGGAGCCAGGGTCCCTGCCCTGGCAGGACCAGACCAAGCAAACCGCCCCGGGGCCATAGGCTTCCAGGGAGAAGACTTTGGAGTTGGAATTCAGTCCCGACCTGGCCACCTGGTCCCTGTCCCCAGCAGATGTCAGTGTGTCTGGCTGCTCAGCAGGGGCCCCGAGAGAATGTGGTACAAAACGGGCTCTCTGCATACCTTGTCACTGTGAGGCTTTGAAATGCTTCCAGGGGCCCTGGCCACCGCCGCCCTGCGGCCTTCCTGGTTCTGGCTCCACTCAGTGGCAGATGGAAGAGCCACGGGTGTGGTGGGGCCAAGGAGGAGATGTCTGGGGAAGGTGGCTGCCACTTTTCTGGCCTCAGTGTGTGTTGGATAGCTGTGGGTTGCAGGATGAGCGAAGAGGGTACTTTGACATCGGGGGTGCTGATGGGAGCGTTGGAGCCTGGGAGGGCAGGGTGGGTATCAGAGGGCCTTCTCCTAGGCCCCTTGGAGCTCCTTGGGATAGAGATGCGGATGAGTGGTAATTTCTCACACAACTCTAGAGTCAGAAAGGGCCTTAACAAATCAGTAGCCGGATGGTTCTTAACCTGGGGACCCCAAGAGCTATAATGGAGCATGTTTGTCCCTGGCATTTTGTCAATATCCAAAAAAAAAAAAAAAAGAGCAGTAATCAAACCTATGACAGCCTCCTTTGCTTATAGAACTTTCGAGTTCCTTTGCTTTGGGCTGGACCTTATCCACTGGGAGAGTTAGTGATGGTTTATATCCATTGATAAAAAGCTCTGGTGAATGGTGATTTATATCTTCGATTAATAAATCTGAGAAGATGAATTAATTATTACTTAATAAATGTGTAGTGTGCCTGCTCCACACAAACCTCCTTAAACAGGAGGTAGCTTGGGAGAAAGCTCTAAATGGAGATCTTTGTGACAAGGAAGAAGAGAAGCTGCTGAGCTACTGAAACCCTCTCCCTTTGCAAGTGAAGACACAAGAGACCCAGGAGACCCAAGAGGTCAGAGTTCTGGCTCAAGGCCACTGGTCTTTAGGTCCCAGAGGTGAAGCCACGACTGGGCTCCTTGGTCCCACCTTCCTTCTGTGACACCGTGGTGCCTCCCTGGTCCCCAGCCTGCCCCCTCCTTCCTGGACTTGGTTCTGCCCAATCAAGCTATCTGTGTTCTTGAACTCCAGGTGGGTTGGGCTGTGGTCACCTGAACGAGGCGGTCAGTGTCTGGACCCTGGGGGACCCCGAAGTGGGTGTATGCTGCTTCTGAGCCTTTTCACTCAAAAACCGTGCCCACTGGCAAGCTACCTTCCCCCTCCCCCTTTTTAAACCCACATCATTTGTGTCGTCCTCCTGGCCAGCTGAGAAAATGAGCTGTCCTTAGAAGTCCCAAAAAGGAAAACAAAAGCAAGTGGAAGGAAGCTAAGTCACGAAGACCAACGGGGAAGCTGGGTTTCGAGTCTTTAAAAAGGAGAGCTTTCTGGAGCCGAGAGGGGACATTAAATGCTGTCCCTGGGCCAGGTGCTCTGGGTCTCATGATGATCCCATCAGGCAGGGGATGTGCAAGACCCCTCAAGGAGGGAGGAACCGTGGCTCAGAGACACCTGGCCACGTGGCAGAAGGCCTGGCTTGCATGTGGGCGATTCAGGATTCGAACCCAGGTCTCTCTGGCTCTAAAGACAGCACCTTAGCTGTGGACCCTGGCCAACCTGAACCCTGTCTTTCCTCCTCCCCCTGCAGACACATAGAGAACTGGCGAGGTCTGCACACGCTGAATGCCGTGGACATGGAGCTCTACACCGGCCTCCAAAAGCTGTGAGTGCACCAGACCTCGGGCAGGGCCTAGAGTGGTGGGCGGGTCGGGGGAGCCCACTGCCTCTGGGCTGCCCTCGGCACTTTCCTCCTCCGTTCCTCTTTTAGTAGAGTCGGTACCACCCACTTAGGGAGTGTCCGGGCTTCAAAGGCCATCCCCTTACTCTCCCACGTTTCTGCTCAGCCCAGAAGACAAGGGGCCTGTGTGGTCTCACCTGTAGTTAGGGATTCAGGGCAGGACCTGAACCCAGGTGTCCCGGCTAGTGATCTTACCTCAGCCCCATGTTTCGCGAATGGTCCCCCTAGCCTGCAAAATTCCCCAGGCCCCTCCTCCTCCTTTGAACTTCAGTGGTAGTGGTCGTGGGGGGTTTGGCGTGGGGGAGGGAGTGTCCACAAAGGGGATTGCAGCCCTGTAGTCGCTGGACCAGGATTCTTGAGCAGGAGAACTGTTACCCTCTTGCCAGGATGAGGAGATGACAGTTGCCAGCTCATCCCAAACCCTCACCCAGGTCCCAGTGTTGGGGTGAGCCCAGACGCCCTCCGCGGGGCACCCAGTGATGCTGATGATGAGGAACTGCTTCAGTTCACAGGGGCGGCTGGAGGTCCATGACCTCCTGTCAGCCTCAGCCTGGAGCAGATGTCCCTCTGCTCTGTAAGCTCTGCTGACCCTGTTTTTCTCTCTCTCTTCAGGACCATCAAGAACTCAGGACTTCGGAGCATCCAGCCCAGAGCCTTTGCCAAGAACCCCCACTTGCGCTATATGTGAGTAGAGCTGGGTCCTGGGCTGCAGGGAGTGGGTGGGGGCGGGGGGAGACACACAGCAGGGAGGGTGCTGGGCAGGGGAGCTAGCTGGCGACCTGGGGTCTAGGCCTGGCTTTGTCACTGTGTGCCCCGGGCCTCAGACTTTGCCTCTTAAAAATGAGGGTTTGGGATTTGAGCATCTCTAAGATTTCTGTCAGAAGGACGAGCCTAAACCAGGGCTTAGAGCCTCCTGACTCCCAAGGTTGTTTGCTTTTCATTTGCAATTTTATGGGAGTATAAGTGATAAGAAATCCCACTCATCTGGGATGTGAATGCTACACCTCTGAGACAATTTTGGGGTCCCTAAGTGTGTGTCCGTGTGTCCCTGTGTGTTGGGTGCTGTTGGAAGAAGAGGGAAGGCAGGGCCAGACCAAGCGCCATGTCTAAGTAGGTTCTGGGTTCACTGGAGAAGGGCTTCGAGAATGGCCCCTGCACCTGAGGTCACACAGCTTCGTTTGGGACAAGTTGCAGGCCACATGGCTCCGGCTGGGATTCTTTTCTGTACTTCCCTCCCCCCATCCTTCCCCCTCCCTTCCATGTCTGATGGCAGAGGGGCCTCCTCAGGGTTGGACCTGTGAGGGTAGAATCAAATGAGCTCACTGCTTTCTCTCCAAGCCTTGTTCTCCACGGAAGACTCCGGGATTCAGTGGGAGGACTGCCGTATCTTGGGGAGAAGGTGGGCTTGAGAGGAAACCCGAGGAGACGGTCAGGGGAAACACCAACCCGCTGTGCCCACAGGGGGTGCTTGCTGTCTGGTCACCTCTTCTTCCAGGATGGTGGCCATCTTGGACATCCATTGGGCACCTTCCCCGAGAGAGCAGAGATTCTCCAGGGACTAGGTGGGAAGGGAGGGCTCTGCTGTATTTGGGGATGACAAATGGAGCAATGATGTGCAGGTGAGTCTTTCCTTTGCCCATGTGACCATTGTACTGCCCGAGGCACTTTGCATTTGCTAATGGAAGGGCAGCCCACTGGACTGGAGTCCCCTCTGAAGAGGCAGAGCCTCCGAGGGAAGCTCTCAGAAAGTGGCAGAAAGGGAGGAAGAGAAGGAGAAGGGCTTCTGGAGGATTGTGGTGGGAGGGGTGGTTCTTTTTGGGGATCCTGACCTCACCCTCTGTCCTCTGTGTGCTTTCTCAGGCACATAGTGAGTGCGTGATGTGTGTGTGTGTGTGTGTATTTATCAGTTATGGCCACCCTTCTTTGTGCTAAACTTCCTTTCCTCCATCTGGGACTGGTACACACTATAAGGCCCTTGCTCAGGGCCCAACGTCTCAGCTTCAGACCTCCCAGTTGTCTCATCCAGCGGTTGCCCCCTTCTCCGAGGCGAGCATCTGTGGGGAGATTCTCCCGATGTGCGTTCTCTGCAGCTGGAGGTGAAGCTGGGACCAGAGGAGGGCTTTGGACCAGATGTCCCAGGTGTTTATTTTATTGGGGATTTGAGTTTCAATGTAAGATATCCCAGGGGAAGAAGCTTCTGACCTCTGAGGAGTCTTATCGTGCTAATTCACACAAAGTTCACAAAGCTAACCGCCTATGGCCGATGAGGGTGGGGACAGTGGAGGCTGGGGACCACATGTCCCCTGCTACAGGGGCAGCTAGCTGACTGTTGCTATGTGGGGGCAGGGCCTCATGTTGCCAGACTTACTGTCTTTTTCAAGAAGAGCTAAAGGTCCGGTGAAACCCCTCAAGTTTTAAATGCTTGGCAACGAAAAACAAAACCCCTCAACTCCATGGGCCAAACGAAACAGCTCTGTGGGCAGAAGAGGACACACGAAGTGCCAATTTGTGGTCTAGGGTATTACTTGGGGGAGAGAGGCTGTCAACTTGGAAGAAGCTCTGTCCCCTTTGCTCAAGGACAGTGGCTAGGTGCTCATGCCCTAGAGCTTACAAGGCATTGTGTCACCCACAGCTCTCAGGGAAATTGAGGGGGCTTTGGTACCTGTCGCGTTTCTTGGGCCACAGAGGTGGGAGCAGGGGTGCATCTCAGGTCACAAGTGTTTCTGAAATGGAATGTACTGGAACATTCCCTTGACTTACCCTTGAGGTCCTGGAAGAAGGCTGTGGCCCACGTCTCCTTGGGGATGATCTGGGGTCTAGTGGGTGGTGGCCGTGATAGGCTGGTGAGGCTTTGTAAGATTCCCAGGGTTTAAAGGGCAGAAGGGGTCTGGTTGGAGTAGTTCTGTTGATAGCTGCGAGCCTGCCCGTGACCTCGGGCTCTGTCTTCTCCCGGAAGCATTGGCCAGCTTTTGCCAAAGCACTTGCTGTTGGCAAGAAGGTTGGTTTACTATCAATCTATCCCCAGTTTGGGCCTGGTTGTACATCAGGGGCCATTAGGATGCTCAGCTTGGTAGGAGAAATTCAGCACCTGTCGAGGGGCTCCCCTAGGCACCGTGGGGCTTCCAGGGGAGTCTGAGGGTCACAGAGGAGTCAAAGGGTCAAGGTGTAAGCGCTGGCTTCATCGATGGGTTTCTTTATGAACTTTTCCCACTTAGGAGGACACACCCCCAATCCCAACAGAGTGAATTTCCCGGCAGCTTCAGGACATTTTTCTCCTGGCAAATGGGCCAGGTTTCTCTGCTCTCTCACAGCATCTTCTATTTCTGTCCTCTAAATGCGGTTACGAGTCTTCAGGCCCCAGCTGAGCAATCACAAGACGATCACTTACTCCAACACTAATTGCCAAGCCCTGGCTTGGTGGCTTTTTCTTTTTTTCTCCCCCCCCCCTTTTTAGGGTGATGGCTGAGAAGTCTTTTCTTGTCCCTTCTGTACAGAATAAGAAGCAGGAAGTGAAATCATCACTGTACCAATGTCAAGTTGTCCAGATTGTTCTGATTGGCTCAGTTTTCCCTCACTTCTAAGCTGCTGTTGCATTACTCAGGGTCCGCTTCTTCCTCGGCCCAGAAAATGAACCAGTGTTAAGGCTAAGTTGTCCGTCATGAAGAAGGCTGGGGAGGAGGGCTCTTGTGTCCAACTTCAAGGTTTATGAGCAACTGGCCCATCTTCTCTTGACTGCTTCAGTGTTCTCTGTGCTTTACTGAGCATGAGAAAAGGAAATACTGATTCATATACAGCAAGGGAGATCCTGTCTGAGAGACTGGAATATCCTTGACCTTTAGGTCCTTTCCTTGATCTTCAAGATTTTTGGATTGAGGATTCTTAAGGATAAGGATTTTCCAAGTGGAAACTTGGAATCGCTGTTTGCTAATCTGCAAAATGGGTGCAATAACAGGGCCCCCTTTGTGGACAGGATGTGGGGAAGATGAAGTGACTGAGGCACATACAGCTCTCAGCCCAGTGCCTGGTAAATGATCAGCGTTCAGAAATGGCAGTTGCTAATAATGATAGTAATTATTGTGATTTGTGGTGACGGTAATAGAACCGAAGAGGGGGGACCAGTTGGCCTCGATGACGATTCTGACTGCGACTTTATTCTGGAAAAGTCGTAGATCTGTTCTGCAGTGCTGTCCTCCTCTCTGGCATCTGGAATACTCCTCTCTGCAATCTCTCATGTCTTTCTTCCTTGAATACCGATAAATGAACCCTGATAGATTCCCTGTTCTCTCCACTTAGTCCCCCTCCTCTCCTTCTCGACAATGTTAGTTTCAGAAAGGACCCAAACAATTCAGCGGATGAGCTTACCCCTTTGTTTCCATCTGATTGGAGGGCACATCCACCCGCACGACTGAAATTGGATTGTTTGCCGCATTTCCCAGCCCCACCTCTGCAACTGGCTCATCTCTTCCCTTCTGGGGTTGGTTTTCTCTGACATGGCTCACACATCAGCCAGATCTCCACAGTCTGGGGTCCCCATAGCACAATGACGTAGATGATTCTCTATGAACCACACTAACATGGCGGGCGGTATGTTCTTTCCTCTGTAGAGCACGTCAGGGTTTTCCAAGTGCTGTCCTGTAGTAGAACATCCATGAAGTCCTCTGATTCTCTTTCCAGGAATCTTTCCACTATAGTTCATGGGCCAGAAGACGCAGTGTTTTCCACTGAAGCAATTAAAACATTTTTTTTCTTACGATGGTTAGAAAATTGCATAAAAAATGCCGGTATGGGGGCATCTGGGTGGCTCAGTTGGTGAAGTGTCCGACTCTTGATTTTGGGATCAGGTCATGATCTCAGGGTTGTGAGATCGAGCCCTGCATCAGGCTCTGTGCTCAGCATGGAGTCTGCTTCGGATTCTCTCCCCACTCTCTCCCTCTGCCCCCACCCCCGCCTCTCTCTAAATAAATAAATAAATAAAAAATCTTTTAAAAAATGCTGGTATCAGGAGAGAAGAAGGAAAGGCTAGTGTTGATTGAGAACTTACTATGTGCCAAGGACTTTGCCTGGTGTTTTTGCAAACATCACTCCTCTCGGTAACTGTAGGTTAGGATTCCTCTATTCCCATTCCATAGATGGGAACATTGAGGCTCAGAAATCATAACTGCCTTCCCCCAAGTTCACATAGCAGTTAGTGGAACAGCCAGGACCTGGACTCTCATCCCTTTGCCTCTGAAGTCAGTGTACTGTTCTGCAGTCCACACGTGTTTGTCTCTCTCTCTAGTTCTCCAGCAAGAACTCCTTATGGGAGGGTTGGGAGTCTTTAAAGTTTTATTAGAGCTGATGTTTCCCCTGGGGATTTAGCACCATCCATCCTCAAAGACCTCTGTTGAGAAAGCTCTGTTTCGTTTCTTTTCCTATTCAGGTCAAATCCTGTAACAACAGTTACATTACAACCGGAATATCTTTATCATAAAAGATTCTTAGCGTTCGCCTATGGCTCGCTCATTTCCAAGAATATGCAGTGTGAGATTCCAGTAAGCCAAAAGAATTTTTATTTAATCCCTTGGAGTTGTTGTGGTCAGATTTCTCTTGCATTCTATTTCTTGCTTTTTCTCCCACAGCTCTGGGCGCCACATCGTTACTCCTCTCTGTCCTAAGCAAACGTGCACTTGATCTTCAGCTTGGGA